GACTTTTTTTCTCTTGATAATTATCGATGCACGTTTTGGTGTCATTTATTGGCCAGGAAATTTCAACACTAAACAATAACATTTATCGCATATATTCGGTTTTAGTTTTTCGTTTCATTTTAAGAAAATCGGACATTTATCGTCGAGTGCAGAGTACATTGTTCAAAACTCGTTAAAATTCAATAGAAAAAAAACAGCAACAAATACAAAACAAAAGAAGTGCACAGCATAAAAATGATGCATAAGATGTACACACTGAGTTGGGAGATTCCAGTTTAGAGTAAGGCATCACACACATACGTACCCAAGTCAATATCGCATTGGCAACAGCAACAGCAGCAACAACAACAAAATATTGCGAGAAAAAAATTCGTAATGAAAAAAAAGAGAAACGTTGCATTGCAGATAACAATCTGGTTGTGACTTGTATTGCGTCTTATTTTCATGTCGATCTATTCTTTAGAACGGAATAGAACCCGATCTCATTGTCATATGTGCTACGACGTTACATTCTATTTACGCACAAAGTATTCTATTCTCGAAAAGATATCAATGAAATTTGTATTTGAGCGAGCATCTTTTCGTTGTCGAACGTCTAATTCATGTTATCACACTAATGTTTAAAAAGTTGTTTTCAATTATAGAAAACAATAATTTGAGCGTAAATTAACTGAACATTTTTTTTTTGTGCGTGCAACCGCCAAATATACCAAAAAACATTAGTTGAATTGCAATTATCAAATGCTACATTTATTGTACCCGTGTGCTCAATGCTTGGGTTGAACGTTTATTATTGCTTCGTTTTTTTGTTTTGCATTTTCTCTCTTCTTCATTTGTTTTTCGCACAGCAAACGACTGCTAACACAATTGAACATTTTCGACGTGAATGAATAAAAGCCACAGCAACAGCAGCAACAATAAAAAGGCAGTCATGTTTCAGTGTCAAACGATTTGAATATTGAAAATGTGCAGTGTGCCAAAAGGCGTTGCATTATAACCCAAATGATTAAAATACACTGCATTTGTATCGCATTATGCTCCTAATTAATTAACTAATAACAATTATGTTTATTTTAAACGCCAATCCGTGTGCCATTTGTGTACGTACAACAGCGCAAATTTTTGCTGCCCCATTATTTGATTAGGGTTAGCTATGCGAGAGTCATATGTGCGCGAATCGGAAAACTGGGGAGAAATAAACACAAATTATTAGTGCACTAATTTTGACCGCACAATTACGACGGAGAATTGATAAACCGCAAATGAAGTAGTTTACAGGCAATTTCTTTGGTCAAAGTTGTGTGTACTTTGATGGCGTTTTTTTTTTGGATTATTTTTAGTTGTGTTAACATTTGACCGGAAAATGTATTTCAAATCATTTTCGAAGCGAGCAGAGACATAACTCGGTATTCATATACACACAAATTGGTTGCTATACATTAGCAACTATGTTTGTGGTTAGATTATAATGAGAAATGGGAATGGCTTGAATGATACTTATCGATAGTCTGTCCCTTTGAAACCTCTGGAAAAGGTCAGAATCGATAAACATAATCGAGTTTGAACTCTGGATTTGGTATTAGAGCCGAGCCTGCATTAGCGGTGACATCGCCGTCGGCATTTACCATCGATTTTCAAAATCGAAAAACTACTCTCGCTAGAACTACCACAGGAAACTGGACTGTTTGAACCATTTCAATGTTCACCTAAATTGATTTTAAACTTTACCTTTTAAAAGTCAACAAAACATTTAATTAGCATAAAAGTTGAAAGCATTAGTCTTAAATCCACTTCACACTACCGATGTAGTGGCAATGCCCAACTACTGTTTTGTAGTCATGTCGACCGAATCATACTTTATCGCATGTCTTTGTGAAATTGAACGACGACGACGACGACGACGACGCCGATAGCCGCCACCAATGTGCGTGAATGCGAATCAACATTTTGTGCTGTTTGCAGTTCAGCATAAATTTTATGATAATGCATGTAAAAGTATGAGAAGTACCCATTGTCGCTGGCGTTGAATTGAAAATAGTCAGGTTATCATCAAGTGACCTTTCACATTTGAATCTGCTTTTACTTTCAATAGGCACAAACACACATAACGCTTCTTCGCTTTTCTTCTCCTTCTTCTTTGGTACGTTGTTAAACGGTTGCGCGCGATTTATTCAAAAATATTTTTCACACCCAGATATCCGATTAGGTGATAATTTTTCGATAAACACCATATTCGTCCTATGCCTAATCCGCATTGAAGTACGTGCATGATGTGAAAAATTGTAGTAAAAATTAAAAAAATATGTTAACAACGATGAAAATGTGCTTGATTACCAATCAAACGCATACACACAGTCTCTCTCTCACTCTCACTCTCTCTCTCTCTCTCTCTCTCTCTCTCTCTCTCTCTCTGTCTCTCTCTCTCTCTCAGCAGATTATCCAATGCATTTTTTTTTCTCTTCTTCTTCGTCTCTGAAATCAAACTGCAACCGCAAATAATTTTTAATAACCTTACATAATAACTTTTGTTGTTTGTTTTATAAGTATATAAATAAACATAAATTTTTTTTGTGTGAGATTTATTTTTTGTGTCTCTTTTACTATTACACGGTTGCGACCAGTGTTTGAGACAAGGTCATCATTTTTTTTCTCATTTATTCTGTTATGTCATGCGTCGTTTATTTATGATTTTTCTTTCAATAAATGCGCTATTTTGAGTGTTTTTGTGTCGACACATTTGTTGAACTACAAAGAGCTCGGAAAGATATTTTCAAACGAAGTGTACTTTGTTTTGAATTTGAAGCCGATTTGATCTATATACGATTTGTATATGCCATTTAGCAATTAGAAGCATAAGAACATCATCATTATCAGACCCAGACCCATTCACGCACAAAATGCCACTTTATCTGGTCCAGATTATTCCAAATATAATTGAACACGTTTGTGTATCAATGGATTCTCCAGTTCCAACACTAAAAACTCAAGGTTTATGTATCATGTTTATCGATTGTAATTAATATTTGAGTTTGTTTATCAATATGAACTCAACGAATGAACCAGGTTTTGTTTTATAAATATCTATCTCTCTGTACGTACGTTTATTTGTTTACAATTCCATACAAATTGTATTCATATCAAAAATTATTTGAATTTGTTTTTTCTCCGAACTAAAAATGTATTTTTAGCACTACATGAAATGTAGAGCTACTAATCTGCTTTTTTTTTCTCTTAATACTTTTTGAGTGATGAAACAAATTATGGTGAATTTGAATTTTATGCTCATATTTTTTATTTAATTTAAAACGACGAATAATTGCATAATATCTCAAAGCGCCAATCAAATTTTTATTATCAAATGTTGTTTAAAAATTACATTAATTTTTCGTATAATATTTTCTGTGTCTTGGACAGAATTGATGTGATTTTAGATTCTATGCTCATATTATTTATTTAATTTAAACCCTAGGGGATTCATGCCAAATTTTATTTAGCAAAATCTATTTGTATCATTTAAATCATGTAAAATTCAAGCTAGATTTTAAATATTTTGTATTATTTCCCGAATGCGTTGTTATTGTTCATATTCACCTTGAACAATATGTTCTGGAAGTGGGTTTTGGTGGATCCTCAGGATCGTTCAAAACTGCTCCCGGTTCTGGAAGTGGGTTTTGGTGGATCTTCAGGATGGATCAGACTGGGTTTGATAATGCCCTGGTCAATCCTGAGGATCCACTTCCAGAACCAGGAGCGGTTTTGAACAATCCTGAGGATCCACCAAAACCCACTTCCAGAATTTTCGAAGCGATAATGACGTCAACAGATTGGAAATGGTTCTGCTGACAGTCGGTTTATTGAACAAAATTGAGCAAAATTGAAATTATGCATACATATCTGTTTAATATGTTGAAACATAAACAAATTCATATTATTTGTTCATATTTTAAATATGGAAATTGGCGTGAGGCCCCTAGTTTAAACCAAGGGCAGTATATTTCAAAAAAAAAATTCAAACCAAGATGTTGTCATTCATTTTGCAAATAAATATATTACTTCAAAGTTACTTTGATGAAATACATTTCATGTAGTGCGCCAAAAAATAGTTTGTTGTGAAACAACAAAATAGATTAAGAAACTAAAAACTCAAGAACGCAGAGCGGAGCGTTTTTTCTTTCTCGGGTTCCAAAAAGTCTAATGAATTTTCATAATTCCGATAAAGAATCGCTCATAAAGGCTAGGAGAATCGATCGATTTTCAATTAAATTTCGTTCAAACAATTTTGAAATTCCCATTCGTTTTCGTTTTTTTTTTGTCGAGTTCTTGATAATCAATTTGGTTGTTTTTTCCAGTGAGGAGAGAATAACTAAGGCGATAAGAAATGCACTAAAGTTTGGTGATGAATAGAAATATCGATAAGGTTTGCGCCTAAGTTTTTTTTTGCCTTCGATGTTATCAGCGCAGTGCAATGCTAGTGACGAAAAGAAGTAATAGGCGATAAAATAAATTTTATGAGATACTAAGATTGCATTGTTATCACACACTATAGTTGGTGTTTCACATTCATGTTTCCAATTCTCGTCCATTGACAATTTCGACATCTGTGATGAAGATTACTAGGAAAACTTCTATCTTATCTAGAAAATATTATTATGACCGTTGTTCAAACTAGAGGCGTACTACTTCTTTTTGGTTTCTAAACTGTTTTTTCTTTATCTCGATTTTCAATTTATTCTAAAATACTTGAGAATGAACGAGAAAACATGTGTGCTTGATTCGAATTTGATCTCAATTGACGTGGCGGTGTATTGCATTTGCATCAATTATTATTCGAAGGCTGTATTCGGATTCAAAAAAGGACAAAAATAAAATACCTTGGATACGTTTTTTTTATATCGTTTTTGGAAGCAAACGAGTTTGTTGTTGTTTTTTTTTTATTTGCCCAGAATTTTAGGTTCACACACACAATTATTTAAACACACAATTAGAGAAAAGAAAAATACTTACTCTTACTATATGATTAAAATCGTAATTTATTGAAGAAATAAAAAAAAAGAATTGAAAAGAAGGAGAAAAAAGTATGTATATGAATAAAATCGATTTTGTTGAAAGGAAAGTGTGTCAATGTTTGGGGGCTTTCACTTATAGTGATATAACAATTGTCACACTTCTATTCCCTTTCTGCTTGCTAGAAGCGGGCCAAAAATATATGAAAACAATCAAAAATAAGAAGCTACATAAAAGAAAAAAAGAAAAAAAATTATATATATCAAGTGAATAAGTAAATAATTGGCTTGGAATTGTTGGTGTTGATTCTCAACGGATTGGAATAAAAGTTGAACTCAAATCGACAAATAATTTCAAATGGAATGATAAAATGATCGATTGTTCGTCTTTGTTTTTCATTCAATCAATATTTTGGTAAAATAGACGATTGATTATTTGGCTGCTTCGGGCGGACAATCTGGTTGATTCGATGGATGTGCTGCACGGAAGGCTGGATGACTTTCAAGCTCACGATCAATACGTAGAATGATTGGATAAGGGCGCAGATCGACGTGGAACCTATGTATGTATGTCAAATTTCGGAGATGATTAGTGATTGAGAACATAATATGCGATCGATTTAGATGAAGGACGATCGACAGATCGACGTCAACGTCGTCACTTACCGTCGCGCATTGAACACTTGTGGCACTAAACAGCAATCGGCCATTGAAATTTCATCACCGACACAGAATTTACCAGCCGAAGTGGACAGCAACTTTTCAATGGCACGAAAACCACGGGTTATCCAGTGCTGTGCCCATTCCTTTTTCTTTTCTTCGCCTACGTGGATTAAAACGATTAGATTCTGTAGCGGTTGAATGCCGGATGTAATGACTTCGCAGATTTCCCGCACTTTGCATCGCTTGTGTACATCCTGCGGTAAAAGTGGTCGCTGTGGTCGTGTTTCTTCTAGATAATGCATTATCGCTACCGACTCAACAAGTGTGTGACCATCTGGAAAATGGGATTGATAAATAAAGAGAGAAACGTCGTCAAAATCGAATACAGAAATTTCAGCAAAACTTACCGATTTGTAGGGCCGGAACTTGTTCCATTGGATTGACCTCACGATATTCATTGCAATGCTGTTCGCCACCTGATTTGATTAAGCTAATCGCTTTTATATCGTATGGTATTTCCTTGAGATTGAGCGCGATACGAACACGCCATGAGCATGAGCTCCTCCAGTACGAATAGAGAACGGGCTGCGAGGGAGAAGTAGTTGAAGCCAAATCGGATTTAGACATTTTGCTCAAAAAACGAGAGTTGGGCAAATTATTAAAAAGCAACTTCTAGAATGAGATACGAACAAAATAAGGCACACCTTGTAACTGAAAAAATAAAACTCATCAAATCGTCTACGAAACGAAGATATGAAAGGAAAAAATCAGAAGAAAAAACAAGTCATAATAATTTGGATGCAAATCAAAAAAATGTAAAAAAAAACACACACACACAGCATAAAATATAATGATAGGAACGTGTAAAAGCCGGTTTTTTTTGTTTCAGCCCAACTGGATACTAAATCAACACATTCTCAATATAAAAATACGGCATACAGAATTAAATACCACACACTGTTCGGCAGATGAACATCTAATCAAAAACAAACCAATCACGAATATGGATGGAAATCAACACTAAACAAACCTTCGCTATTGTCGATAACGACATAGCGTTATGATACTTTGAGTAATTAATTTTGGGGCCGTTTTTATGTAAAATATGAAAAAATATATTTGGATTCTTCGGATTTATGCTTGGTTCCGATTTGTCGTTTTTGTTTGCGGTGTTTTTTGCTCGTTTTTTTTTATTTTGTTTCGTTGTTTGAGGTAAGAGTGTTGCAGAGATTTCTATTTAATATTCAATCTATAAAAAATGTGCGGTTCAGACTGTCATTTGAGGCGCTTGTCGGTCTGTCTGAGTTTGTGCTGCACACACATCGTTAGGTTGGCATTCGTGCATTTCGAGCTGAACGATTTATGCATTGGCTAAATTCATAGCAAACATTCGAACCATCTCATGCAAATAATTCGTTGGTTTTTATTTTTTCATTCGACGAAAACCGGGTTTAGAATTCAAATGAACTTGCTCAAATATGAATAAACATTTCTATTCATCTTATCGTAACCATTTCATTTAATTATTATAAAATTTTCCATTTCAATATGTTTGTTTGCCCGATAGGCGTAATAACTCTTCTAAACAATTTTGGAAAGTCGACACACAACACATATACGACAGCTCCGGAAAAAAAGACATCTATGCATCAAATGTTGAATTACCTATGTTAAATTGTTATCCTGTTTTATCCTTAAAATCTTTGCAACAGATTCCAATGTTGGTTTTCCATTTGGCCATTCGGAGCGAGAAAGAGAGACAGTGCGGTCGGAAACCGTTCAACGTGCTGTTTCTTCCAAAAGCATACATGTAAAGCCTAAGTGTGTTAGTCCTTGGAATGAAAACGAAAGAAGCATACACACACTTCGTCTGAAGCCAATGGAAACGGTATCAAGGCCAAACTATTGAAATTTATCGCTGAATGAATGTTAAACTATACTTGTTGCATAGACATTGACAAGGTGAAAATCCGAAAATCACATTATACACATGTCAAATTGTATTACATGTTGTACTCGGTGTATTGTATGGATGTGTATGGATGTGTGTGAGTGTGAGTGTGCGTTGCATGGAAGGCAATTGATATCTCGCTGATTATCGAAACCACTGCAATTGAATATGTTGAATAAGCAACAACATTTTGCATTCATGATGAGAACACTGTAACGTGTTTGAGACAAGAATATGTTCCATTCAATTTTCCGCACTCTCTCTCTCTCTCTCTCTCTCTCTCTCTCTCTCTCTCTCTATTTTTTTCTTTCGAAAATAGGAAATTGATTTTCCTTTCCACCCTTATTTTATCGATTTCTAAGTGAATTGAGATTGTGGTTGAGTGAATGGGAGCGAAAGAAAAGTTGTAAATGGCCTCCCTCGCTCTACTGTTCACCTTTTTCGGTGGCCAATGTTGAAACAACCGAAAAGCCATTTCTCAACAAAATCTGATTTCAATTTGAAAATGTTCAATTTCCATTGCATTGATACGATTGGAACGGATGCAATGCAATGCAGAACGTCGAGTAATTATTGACATTACGGATCTCCATTTTAGAAATTAACGTGAAGTACGCTTTTTGGTTTTACTTGTTTGATTAATTCATGTGCGGTTTTTGACTAAATGCATAGGTTTTTCGGTGTTTGTGGTTGTGTGTGTGTGTGTGTGTGCACATGTGCATTTCATTGAATTTTCACACGAGCACAACATCACCACCCGACACACATTGAGATACGTGAACGTTGAATTGAACTGAACCTATTTATGATTTTCACTTTAGAAAGGATTAAAATTTTGTTTTTTTTTCACCTCAACACATCTTCCCTTGCGCTGAATATTGATCACTGCTTAACGGAAACACAAAATTGGTTAAACCAATATGCTGTTAAGCATATTTGTTTAGGACTAATTTTTTTTCGGTGATAATTAAACTTTATGTACTTTCCCGTATGAAATGTGTGGTTTGCATGAAATGAACCGAAGAAGAAAAAAACAAAATCGTATTGCCAACGAGCATTAAAAGTTGGAAATTGTGCCAGTTTAACCGCAGCTATCTGACACATCCTTCAAAAACCGAACTCAAAGTGGATAATTTCAATATTCTCCGAGCGACTCATTCACGCACAAAATGAGGTTGATTCGTTGTTGCATTGCATATTGCTCGCTCTCATTAGCACCCAAAACGTATTGACGACTAATTTGGATTTTAATCTGTTTGGTTACTGTTGAACCGAACACCCAACATTCCACAGTGAAGCCTGTTGATTTCGTATATACATATTGCATGCATACATATAGATATTTCAGAACAACAGCATATTACGCCCCGATGGAGAACAACGACAACAGTTAGAAAATTGTGGTCTCATCATACAATCGCTCAAATTCGAACCAAACAAAACCATAATGCGCCATTCAGAGTGTAGTTCCCCATAATAAGCCTATCTGTTTTGATTAAAAAGTTTTATTTTTTCCCTGTTCACTTGATGAGTAATCAGCTGACATTACAGTCGACAAACATTCGCGTGATGGATCAGAGATGGGGCAATCATTTTCTTGTTCTCAATTCTACTGGCAAAATATGCACCCTCGGTCCCTCACCCATATTCGATGAGTACGAGTACGCAATCGAAAATTATTTAAATGTTTCTTCTCTCATTACCATTATTATTCGAATCAATGTGATTCATTATCATCACACATACATATGTTACCAATATGTTGGGAGTTTTGTAATTAGTCTTGTAACTTTAATTGTCCATACGGGAATTGATAATTGTGTTTTGAATGATTTTGAAATATTAATTAAACCATTACTGTTCTTGTTACTTTTTAATGGGCAATTATGGGTGATGGTTAATGCATGTTATTCGTTTCGATTTGAATTGGGAAAATGGTTCGCAGAATCTCGTTCTTTCAGGTGTTTCATTACAGAAGCGGAACAGAAAAAACCAAACATATATTTGACAGCACTTCCATTTGAAATGGCATTGAATGAATACAAATAAAATTAACAAAAACCAAAGAAAAAATTGAAATTGGTACCGTTCCATAGCTTGAACCTTCAGCTATACACCAGTGAAATTACATATACGTATATGTGTAAGCATGTGTGAGATATTACCTCACACATACACACATGTGCGTTTCCTGTCCCTCGGGCATACAATGCCCGTAATGTATTTTTCCATGGAAACTGGACCGGGCAAAGAGACAGCAACTTGGTGTCTTCGGCGAAGTTGTAGTACTAAAGGTCTACTATAATTTTGCCGAAGACAGATATCTCTTATATCTTATCAATCACACGCAATACGTAAAAAACCGCGAAAACGCGAATATTCGCCTTCTCATTCTTCACGGAACTGAGAAGAGATAAGTGACTCCTGTCTTCAGCAAAGTTGTAGAGCAGGTTGATTACTATTTCCACAGACACCATTTCATTATTACCTATCAGTAACGCGAAAATCTGTTTAGAAAATCCTCGTATTTTGGGCGGTTTTTTTGCGAATTTGATAAGAGATAAGCGATATGTACCTTTAGCAAATTTGTAGAACAAGTTAAGTACTACAACTTTGCTGAAAATACCAATTTGTTATCTCTTATCACAGTCCAGTTTTTATATGAAATACATTACGGGCATTGTATGCCCGAGGGACAGGTATATGTTGCAAACTCAAGGGACAATCATAGTGTTAAATATGGTATTGAGGAAGCCAGCATGATGATAATTTACATAAAAGTCATCCTATTACTAGGCGACAATCTGAAGGATTTCATACGGTTCCTATCGGATCCTGTATTCATAATAAGAAGGATGTGCAGATGAAATGCTCAATGTAATTTTCTATAGATTATGTATCATATATAGTCAACGCGATTGTAATGTACTATATGGAAATGTGTTTATGTTTGTGTGTGAATGTGTGTAGAGTGTTATCTTTCGGTACTTTCTTAGAATCACGTTGACGAGCATGAAATTTGTTCCAAAACCGTCAAATAATGAAATCCGGTTTTGCAGCTGTAGTGTTTTAAATGAGAGAGATAGAACTGAAGCCTATACAAATCAATCACAATCTTTTACAGGAAAAATATGTTTTGTTTTGTTCGTCTTTACTTCGTTTCATTCGGTTTCCCAATTCCTATCTCACTCTCTCTCTCTCTCTTTCACCTATCTCTTTCTTTCTCACGTTTACATTTCGAAATGACACCAAACTTTTTGTTCGAAACATATTTGAAATATTGTCGAATTGTAAACTTTCATTCACGCTGTTATCGCTCGCTCGCGCACGAGAGAGAGAGAGAGAGGTGCGAACGATAGCGATTCGTTTGCAAGGGATAATTTCACAAACAAATAGGATAATTGATTGATAATTGGGAATTCAATATTCATTAGATGCATCGGAACGTCCCGAATGGAATACTTTGTCGTTCGATCCATCAAAAGGCTACTAGGCCCCGCGATGGATTGTCATTATGCGACGGTGGTGAAAAAAAAAAGCGTGGGATAAAAAACGTGAAACAAAGACCATTATCGAGCTAAGTATTTAACACGTATCTCGTTAAACTATCTGCACCGAATCGATGTGTACGATATGCTCTCGTGCTCTTGCTCTCTGGCGTACTTGTTTTTCATCTCGTTGCAAAGCTTCCGAAAAAAAGTATGCGAGAATTTCAAAGCAAAAAAACGCACACAGACACACTTCCACACATCCACGGGCTAATGCAAACCCATTTATGCCAGGACGACGGTAGTGAGATAGAAAAGCTTAAGCTTGAAGCCTTTACTGAAAAAAAAATATATATCAACGAAGTCGCACCGAATTTCCCCTGCCGCACGGAATATTTCATTTGCAAGCTCAACTTATCCGTTTTTCCACTGAAAGCTCGTCGTTATTCCGACCACATCTCTCTATCGGCTGCGTGTTGTGTGTACTGTGCGCTCTCCATCTCGCTCTCTCGTTCGCACACACATTCGGTCGGATACTCATCGCACTGACATTGTCACTTGGTTGCCACCACACACCGATTTGACGATTGTTATACACACTTCGGGGCTTCAAGTCAAGCTTAATTTTATCAAACACACGTAAAAAGCTCTCCAATATTCTTATCGCCTCACCATATATACCGAAGTGTACTCGGGAATGGTTGTGTTGTTTTCGCCTTTTATCAGCGCGTCAGCATACAGCGCGCTCGTACACACTACGTGACTGAAATCGTACGAAGAATTTCTCTCCCCTTTTGAAAAACAAAAATATGCGCTCTGATTTCAGTTCTTCAGTTCTTATCGAGCTATGTTCGGGATCGGAAGCAAATATTGAATAAATTTCGTATCAAACACACACACAATACAGTTTTAATTCGCGATAAACAAACATACAGAGAGGAAGAGAAAAGAAAAATATCGAGAGACGAAAACGAAAGAGAAAAAAAATAAGTAATACGCACAACAAATACACAGTTTTTTCCTTTCTCTTTTATTTCGTTTAATTTCGTTCCGTTCTTCGGTCGTTTTTTTTTCGACATCGTCAATCCGATGGGAATGAATTTATCGAAGACTCAATTTTATTTCTGTGATGTAAAAAAAATACCCAAGCAAAATGAAAGCACGTTTTGTATAAATTTCAATCGAGTAGATAAAAAAAAATGAAATAATCTATATGTATATTGTTCATACAAAATATCGCTATCAATTTTTCACGAATTACGCAAAATAGAATTAAAAAAAAAAAACAAATAAAAAAGAGATACGTCGACGGGAAGTAAAAAAATAAATAAAACAAGATAAAAAGTAGGCAAGGCAAAGAGATTAAAAAATAATGCGTGTAGATGCGGTGATGAATTAACCTTTGGAATTAACGAGGAAAAATTGTAATATCATATAGTGTAAAATCTTATCTGTATCTCTCGAAGTTGAGCCAAGGCTCATCCGTTTTCGATTCCTTCGTTCTTTCTTCCTTTCATTCGTTCATTCATTCATTTTTCTGTTTGTTGCTAAAACAATGTGCTCTTGTGATAAAAATTATTCACGTCGCTGATTGAGATAGACAAACGAGATAGAATGTGTATGCCGTTCTCCGCGCCGCGAATGGAAGCGAAGTGTTCGAAGGTGTTTCTATTTCCAAGGAAAACAAATAAATAAACAGAGTGAATAAATAAATAAATGGTGTATTGGTATGTAAATATGCAATCTATGTTCCATGTTCCAATGTTCAAAATGTTGTTATTGGTGATGTGAGGTTTGAGCGAATAATGTGAATGAGATGTGATTTCAAGAGTCGACTCTCGAATTTTAATTGTTTCCACTGTTTCTATGCGTATGCTTTTGTTTTTCTTTTTGCTTGTTCTCTCAACTCTTTTTTTCTGTTCTTCCTTGCTAAAAAAAATCTGCTCCCTGTGTCTTCTTCATCTGTACTTGTTCCTTGTTATTTCGTTTCTTCGTTGGAATTTTTCTCCTTTTCTGATTTGTGTGTGTGTGTGTGCTCCCGTGTGCCGAATCTCTCAATGAATGAACTCTTGCATCCTGTAGATGCTGTGTGCGAGGGAAGAAAAAAAAGTTTGCGATATCTTCTCCCCGTGATTTTCTCGTTGAAAGTTTTCTTGTTGAATTTAATCGATAAACAAAATTAAATTGACGATGTTGCAGTCAGAAAGAAAAAAAGTGAGCGAGCGCTAGAGAGAGAGAGAGAGAGAGAGAGAGAAAACGAGAACGAGAGAGTGAGACCATTTAGTCAATCGAATGTGGCGCCATATGATGTAAATTAAATATGAAACGGCATGCCGAGCCTGAAATGAAAAGAATGAGATTCTTGGAAAAAGTTTCATTTTGGTTCGTCGTTTGTGTTCGTTGGTTTGCCATCTGAGGCTCAAGGTATTTCCATAAAAAATTGTGTCTGCGGAATTAATTTTAAATTTCAATGCCGATCAAGGAAATGATACTTAGTTTATTGTGTTCGGCTTTGATGACGGTTAGACATAAAACACCCACATGGCCACCCCAGTGCACACGCACACGCACATACACTTGCTAACCATTCTCCTTCCTATCCAATTTCCAAACATAATAATAATCATCAATTGATGGGAAAAACGGATTCGGTTTTTGTGTTGCAACTAAAATAATGTGATAATTTTCCATCTTTTGTTCACTACACCGACATCACTTTGGCGTTCAATGAACGACGGCGGCAACAACAACAAAGAAATAACCAGCACAAAAATCAAGCGCAAATGAAATGGATTTTAACATATTGATTGGTATAAGTAGCTTTTGAATACAACAGCATTCTAATTTAAAAGCAAAATCCCCTTCAATTACAACATAAAACCATGGAAAATCGCACAGAGACACACAGTGAAAGAGCCATATCAAATCCTAATATCAAAATTACCGAGAATTCAAAATGTGTGTAACCGTTTGATTCCATACCGTTCAGCAGCACCAGCAGCAGCATCAACAGCAACGGCAACGGCAACAGCAACAGCAGCACAACACAGCATACATTATTCTACATGTTGATTCATCGCTGCGTATCTTATGGGCTTTTCCACATAGACAAAGACGGCGAAAGACACACCAAACCAGAGATACACAGTGTGTGAGAGACAGATTGAACAGAGCAACGATGCGTTACCCATTCATTGGCATCGAGCTGTGTGTGTGATAAGCAGCACACTTTCCTTTTGCCGTGTACGTATTGGATAGGGTAGCCTAGCTAACTGATGTGATTTTCACAACATTGTTGGCGCTCCGTTCTGATTGTGTACTTGTTGGCTTACATCGCAATTTCGTCTATGTCTGAATGTTTTGATTGTTTCATTATAAAATATGGCTTTCGTTAATGGTTTGAGCAATATAAATGTGCACGGAGGCCAATTTCCCCCCCCCCCCCCCTGTCTTTCGTTCTATATAAATAGAAACGTATTTATTTATAAATCGTCTGCCCCGTCATTTGGGCCGAAGTCAAGCCAATTTCCTGATATACATTCATACTTCAAACAGAGCCACCAAAATATGCGATGGCCACAGAATGAAAACAACAGCAACAAGAGAAAATAAAATAAACGCAGAGAAAGGAGAAGGTGAAAAACATGATTAATCACCAAATAAATGTTGAAGGTACGTTGAACATGCATTGTGTGCACACACACACACACACACACAGGCTACGGATGACACGATGAACTTGAGAATTAATGAATGACAACGTTATAACGAATAAATCCCCGCTTTAATGAATACAAAAGACTCGCAGCACATCGCATGCGAATGCAGTGTCATGTAAATACAAGTGTTTCACTTTTCGAACGCTTCTAATTTTATTTATAAGCAAATTGGTATGCTCTTCATTCAACCTCCGTACCTGAGTTTCATCTTCACTATCTGTACTAATGACAAAAGCACACACACATACATGCACAGAGTCTAACCTCAATTGGAGAGGCAGAACGAGAGTGCATGCGAAAGACGCACAGCAACACCGACCTATGTTGAATCTTATTCGAGAGCACGAAAAATATGTGATTTACGGAAAACATTGGTAAGATAGCACGTGTAACAGGATGGAAGTGTATTTTGTAACCAATTCCGACAACAGAAGAACAATAAGCAGTCGTTCGAAATGCTGCGCTTCGTTTCCAATGCTCAATTGTGCTTGTCTCTTGAATGTGAATTACACAGGCAAAAGAAAAGCCATTGTTCACTTTTTTTCCTCTTCTACTTCTGCTGCCTCTTCCTCTCCTCCTCCGATGTCATCCCATTAATTTTTAAATAATTAAGCGAAATGGAATGGTTTCGCCAGCTAAATCAAATTCCGTTTTATCGACATCAGATGTGTCAGCCTGCATAACACACCACCATATATCGCGGTCATAAAAGACCATCGGCAGCCTGAAGGTGTGTACGTCTGCTGTTGTGATGTATATTTTATTTTTCAGTCTTGCTCAACGCACATGTGCATGTGTGTCAAGTGAACAAAAATAATTTACGATTTATTTTCACGTTCATATCATAATCCGTTTTTACTACCGTTTGCCGTCGCAGGAAAAAAATGGCTTTGCATACAAATCATGTGCACAGTGCTTAGAAAATACATGAAATGAGGCAAGCCGTTTTTATGATCGTTAGCATTTTATCAGCAAACACGAAGAAATAATCAAGCGAAAAAGTGCGCAAACTTTTCATTCTCAGAACAGAAACGAATAGGGAGAGTGAAGAAAAAAGCACCAAAGCTGGGGCAGAAGGCAGAGAGCGTGGAATATGAATAAAGACAACCAGAAAAGCCACCTACCATTACGAGTCTTTACATTTCAAATCCTTAATGCACTTAATTAGAGCCTGACGATTTAATGGGATTGTGTTTAAATCGTATTTCTTCTCTCGTTTATTGTGTTTGATTTTGTTCGGTGTTTTTATGGGCCCAATTCAACGTATGATTCCCGGGAAATTGCTGCGGAATTGTTAAATCGCCTCCATTTCATGGGAAGCGTACAATGTACGGAGTACGAGGCCAACCACGTACACTGAGAACCAATTTCATTTCAATTTTTCTTCATTCAACGCTTTTTTCCTGTTTCGTTTTGTTTTATTTAATTATTTTCTTTTTCTCTCGCTCTATCCATCGATGACGTTCAACTGTTCGTTAATTATTTAACTCATATCTATAATCATAAATGACCTAAATCGTGAAAGCGGCACCAACGGCAACAACCGTAACACCATTCGACTTGCATCGAACTCAAGAGTTCATTGATTGAAAGCGTGCGAGCAATGCGATAAATTTCATTTTTCGAATATTCCATAAATAGCAAAGTTCCAATCTTCAAGTGAGTGTTTCGATATTTATACAATAATATCAATGGCCATGATTCAATTCTCATTCTCCCTGCCTTTCGCTCTCTCTCGGATTGATTCAGAGCGATTGGATTCCTTTCAACGCGCCAGAGTACCAAACGGAGGAGGCAATGGCGAATGAATGAGAGCTATTCGTATAAATTTTGGTTTCGTTTTTTTTTTCATTTCCGCTTTCTCGCGCGCGCCTTCTCATAAATGGATTAAAGCAATAAAGAAAAGCTTAGCCAAAACGGAAAAAAGCGTGCTCATCGAAATTGAAAATACTTCCGGATTGTTTTCATTTTACTCCATTTCCGTTCTGTGGCGAGCAGATTTTTTTTTTCCTTTCTTATTCATTCTTCTCTGTTGTCGTGTTCAATATTTTTCTGCTTGCTATTGCTTATTAGCCACTTATTTATATGTACACATCGTGGAGAGAGAGAGAGAGAGAGTGGGAGAGAGTACCTAGACGCTGTCTTTTCCAAATGCGTGTTTTTTCGCCTGTTTTTTTTTCCTTTCTTCTTTCCCATCCACTCTATCGCTCTCCGATGGAAAAGAAATAATACGCTCAATTGAACGAGATCGACGGTAGTTGTACCATTAAGAAGTAAGCATTATTATATGTATTGAATGAAAGGTCCGACGCAATAATTTTTTTTTTCTGATTTGATGGAGTTGGCATCAGAGCGTTGGTGTTGGCTGATGGTGATGTTGATAGTGTTTTTCAGTTCATCATAACTGGTCACAATAATATATTCTGAACTCAACTTCTGCGAAAAGAAGAAATGTGTTGCCTGTGTCCCCCACGCAATATTTCTTATTCGTTCGTTGCGCTTGGTCGGTCTATCGTTGGATCGCTTATTCACTTGGCATTCGCATATTTTTATTTGCTTTCTTTTAATGGATGGCTTGCTCAGTACGCATAAAAGGAAATTCGCATCGCTTATTAGGATACCCATTGTGCATTCGCTGTGTAGTCATTATAACTTAGTACTTTGGCATTTGCTGTGAACTGAACGATTGACAAGCTATGCCACTTTATCCCACGCATACACGCGAACACGAAAACGGTGAATATTTTCGATGACGTTGCAACCACGAAAACTGTGTGTAATTATAGCGAGCTGCAAACTATTGTGCGGTTGGCGATGATTAATTTTTTCGCTCTCCCTCTCGTACTTTCTCTGGTTCACAGCTGTGTGTGTGTGTGCGTTCTCTCGTTATAGTTCGTTTTGGCTCTCACATTTGTGCAATGCGACCGAATGGGTGCGCTCGCCATACTAAATCATTATATTATCGAAAACCTTGTACTTTTCATTCGGGTGCTCCCAGTGCGCCATGA